TGGCAGCGCGAACGACATAGTAAAACGGCGTAATTTTAGACGAGACCGTGCTGCCAATTTTTCCGACTGAAAATTCGTTCACCGATTACGATAATACGAGCCTGTGCTGCCAGTGTGCTCGTAAACGCGGACGTGTCTTTGAATTATGGCTTGTTCTTACGGTACCCCGGGAGGACGGGCAACTGAATATAGGATAGATGCGTATCAAAGGTTAGTTTCACTTTTTCGATGCACGAGGCGAGTTAGCAGAAGATGGGACAATTTGAGGAAAATTCTTCAACGTTCGATCATCGTATGCAAACATATGTTGGGCCTGTGTTCGCGAATGTGGATAAACCTTTTGCACTCGAGAGGTGACTCTCAATCACCATTTAATCAAATTCTAAAGATCGACGTTAATGAATATATCAAATTTAAAATTACCTAACGATGTGTGCAATGTCAGAGAAAAATAATTCTATGTCTTAATTTGCATATGATTTCTCATTTACCATTTTAAAAATATCGTCCACTCTATGACAAAAAGTCTTCGAATTACTATTTTTCTGTAACGAAAAAGTCGTCGAGTGCAAAGGGTTAAGTTGGGGTGGTTTCGCGTATGGGTAAAGCGAAAAATTATAGTCGATTTGAAGGATCGATTCAATTTCTGAAAGCGATTTCACGTTATTGCAGCGACGTGTGAAGTGTAAAGTATGTAAATCTTTAATAAAAATAAAGAAGCAAAAATATACAATATTCGAACCAAGTAATTTCTAATAAACGCAATTGGGGTGACAAAAATTTTCGACACGAAAATTTGATCGTGTAGTAAATAAAAATGTCAATATTAATTATCGAATAACAACGACTGCGTAAGATATTACCACGCGGTATTAAATGTTACAATTACTACGATTATCACAGAAATTATAAACACAACAATTTTTCTTGTCAATGAACGTAACGAAATAAAAATATTTAAAAAAATATTTATCCTAACCCCTATGGGCACTCCAAAAAGAAAAATTCTAGGAGTATTGAAATTAGCACACAACGATAATAAATATTACAATTACGACAATTACTACAAAGATAAATAACAAACAAAAATTTCCTTTCTCAGTAAATGGAATGAGATAAAAATATCTAGAAAGAAAGATTCCAAAGGTATCGAAATTACCATGGAACGATAATAAATCTTACAATTACTGCGATTATTACAAAAATAAACAACAGACACTAAAATTTCCCTCCTCAGTGAAGAAATCCAGGAGTATCGAAATTATCGTGCAATAATAAATATTACAATTACTAGGATTATTACAATAATAAACAACAAACACAAAGATTTCCCTTCTCAGGGATCGTAGCGAGATAAAAATATCTGGAAAGGAGAAATCCGGACTATCGAAATTACTACGCAACGATAATAAATTTAACAATTACAACCATTATTAGAAAAATAAACAATAAACAATTACTACGACTATTAAAGAAATTAGAAACACAAAAGTCCTCCTTCCCAGTGAACGGAACGAGATAAAAATATCTGAAAAGGAGAAATCCGGTCTATCGAAATTACTACGCAACGATAATAAATTTAGCAATTGGTACGATTATTAGAAAAATAAACAACAAACAATTACTACGACTATTACAGAAATTAGAAACACAAAAGTCCTCCTTCCCAGTGAACGGAACGAGATAAAAATATCTAAAAAAAAAAATGCCGAGGTCGTCGAAATTACCACGCAACCGCGACAAAATTACTTTAACCCGTATGCCTGGCATTTCGTCATAAAGCGGGAGACAGAGATAAAGGCGAATGGTGAAAATACCTCGCACAATCCGTCGACGAGGAAGCCCACGTTGGAGCCGCACGCGCCAACACGATTAATCGAAACTCTGCCGCCAATTTCAAGATCCCGGAATTGGCAGACAGCGCACGCGGCCCTGGAGTATCGATTGCGACGCACGTTTCAGATAAAATAGATTCTATCCTTGAACTTTTGTCCGTGCAAAATGTCACGGCCGTCGCTCGATCGATCGCGCGTCGATAATCGATGCACGCTGATACATTTTTATTTTTCCCCGCCTGTTTGGTAAATAATGGTAATTAACTCGCAGTGAAAACAAATAGTTTTTTAAACTTTCTTCACTATGGTAAATATGCACGAAGGGTGTAAAGGATAGATAGTGTATTATATATCATACCCTTGCACCCCCCTGGCGTTAACATGGCGACGTTGATAATGTTCCAATTGTAATTCGATATTAAAAAAAAAAACTAACCTAACCAGATTATTAAAAAAATTGAATTTTCTGAAATTGTCACCCGTAGCGTTTTTCCTCACAATTTCTGTACGACTTGTTGACACAGTGCTGTTTCTTAGTAATATTTACTCGTCAATAAAATTTTTGTTTAATCTTTCGACGAGTACATAGAGTACGTAGTATATCGTACTTCTTTCTATACATATATATTTTCTTTTATTATTATCTATATGTTTGTTTATTATTTTATCGAACGAAAGCGATGAAATCGAGTACAGCACTCAACAGCGCGTTAACTGATGATGGATTTATCAGATGAGAATGGAAATGTCAATAATACTGACATATTTATTTTGCCTGTACAATTACAGCCTATTACGAGTAATTATAGGTCACCTTTTTTAATCGTTTCTACCGAATTTCTATTTTCCACGCAAATTAAGAATTAAACTATCGTTTTATCCTATGATTCCAGAGTAAATATCGAAACTTAGAAATACGAGAACTTAAAGTAGTTAATGGACAATGCGTTGACCTGAATTCGACGTATTCTGAGTATTAAAAAGCGATTTATGGTCTAATATGCGCAAGAATTATCGTCGTTGCCTGGTTTATTATCACGTATCTTTATCGCCATGAAACTAGGACTGTTACAAAATATTGTAGAAGGAAAAAGTAGCACAGCACGAAAATTAATTTTCTAGTCTTAATATTTCGACAAATGTAAAAACGTCGAGAGTCCCAATATGCGAAAGCATTCGTTTAAAGATTTTCTGTCAATTTCGTCAATACAATCAGTTTCTCGACGATTCTCTGATTTCTGGTACTTTATTATAATTGTATTCGGTCGAAATAACCCTATCCTATCAAAATAACCCTATATTTATATAAATTAAACGCGACTCGATTAAAATTAATTTATTCTTAGAAATATTTAATATCTGGACTGTAAAATTCCTTGACTAGTTACCTGATCAAAGTTACCTGCTTAATAAGACAATTGAGTTTACTAAATTTCCGAAATAAAACGTTTTGAATCAAATTCGCTATTGCAATTATTCGAAAAAGAAAAATTTTACTACCTGACTATTACCTATATATCATATTTCATTTATTTTCTAACCACAGTATAAATTCATAGAATAATACACCTGATGTTCCAGAATTTTACCTGCAAATATCACCAGCTCGTTCTAGGTATAAAAATGATTTTAAATCGATCTACCATGAATCGTCAAATTTATCACCAACTAAATTTCACTACGATTATACCTAATTTTTTAAATTTGAAATCACTTCTGAAATATATTTTCCGTGTTTATTTCATACTAGCTGAAAAATTAGTTGATCATGCAACTACGTTACTATTTTAATTTTTCCTTCGCTATACTAGATAAAAGATTTCCACTTTCCTCAAAATTGAATATAATATTTTGCATTTACATATCAAACGCAGATATGCATGATCTCGTAGTCTTCGTCGATAGTTTTTGTTGAACATCCATATATGCATTCATAGCAATCAATTCATAGCTAATAGCATTTGCATTTATGGACTCGTCGTTATATTTCACCTGCACCTAAAAATCTTCCTAGCAAAATTACTCGAAAAACTTTAAAATACACTATAGTATACTACCATCTATTATTACGACGCCTATTTCCAAACATTTTAGGATTTTTCACGTTCAGAGTCACGCGAACAGTTCATTGGGTAGGTCTTGACCTCAACTATTAATCATTGCCATTTAAAAAGCCACCGATGATCTATGACCCCGAAGAAAATTCCGAACCAATCAACATTACCCGTGACACATTTTTCTATTACGAAAAACAAACAGGTGCACGAGTTATTTTGTTCACCCTGTAGATACACTCGCGTGTGACCTAACATAATTCCTCAACAATAAAATTATTAACGCTACCCTTCGTGTTAATTATTATAACTATAACTCCTTTAATAACATTGGATAATTATAATAGATAATTACCCATCGAATTTTAAGATCCTATTCTTCTCCAACTGATCCTAATTTTCTTCTCGCTTATAATAATCATAATTTTAAAAAATACTAAACGTATACATATACCTGAAGAGACTATACGATACCTTATGTACACTTTGCAATGGTAAACTGAGGTTCTAATCACTCGGTAAAATAAAAGATCGGCTGATCTCTAAGATAAATTTATTTTCCACCGTTTTAACTATGAAACGAGTGAATTAAACATATATCTCTCTTTCTTAATAGTCCTACAAATAGCGGAAAATTATAGATATTTCTAGATATGACACCCGAGTTAAGCTAGCTATTTTATGAATCTTGACACACCGAGTTTGAAAGTTTCACTATCCCTGATTTATCTACACTTTGCAGTAGTAAACTGAAGATCCAATCACTCGGTAAAATAAAAGATCGACTAATCTCTAAGATAGATTTATCTCCTATCGTTTTACTATGAAACAAACGTATTAAAAATATAGCTCTCTCTTTTAATAGTCCTACAAATAGCAGAAAATTACGGATATTTCTAGACGTGACACAGGACCCGAGTTAAGCTAGGTTTTCTATAAATCTTGACACACCGGAGGTCAAAAGGTTCGCCATGACTGCCTTATGTACTAATACATAAGTACAGCTTGCACTAGTAAACCGAGGGACCAATCACTCGACAAAATAAAACATCTCCTAAACTCTAAGATTCTACCTGTCCGGGGAAACACCTTTGAAAGATTGTCGACTCACCATTTTCAGGGTTTCCTCCGGTCTGAGCAGGTAGAACATAGATTGCAAGTGCTGTTGGATGTCGCATCCTGCCGCGGAGACCCTTCTCGAGGGCCTGGCCCTTTCGTTCGGAGGCAAAACCAAGGCTGCGCCCTTGCCTGCGAAGTAACATTCGCTGAGGCTGAAACAGAAAGAGAGAAAAGTCGATTAGTATGGTGAAAAGTTACGGGTGACCTTGGCGCGATGCAGAACTCGCGCGTTTAAAGGGCAGCTCACGTATTTCAGCGGCTCCCGATGCCAATTATGCGAGGCACAGGCACTTAATTCAACATTGTCAGGCAACGGTTAATTGCGAAGAATTTGCTTGCGCTTTTTTCTTACATACGCAAGCTTTCACCTTTCTTCTTTTATTCTTTTATCCTTGCACTGGCTACACGTACCACGAGGTTTATCTCTCCTAATTTGAATTTCGCTGGGTCAGGGGGGAAAGTTTTTATTCGAATTTCAAATACGAGAAATAAGAACCGACATAAGTGGAGCAGTAGTCGATGGAACGGTTATGGCAAGAAAATATAACACGATGATAAATAGGAAAGTAAAATAAGCGATGAAAAATAACGATTTATGGGTAAGTACATTTGATATCATACGAAATTAAAAACCAAAATTATATTTTAGAATTTATTCGTTTATTTATTCTCAATTCAATTGTCAAGTATCAAAATTATCAAAAGGGCGGGTTTCAAATATTTTGCTATTCATTTACATTGAGTCCAGAATTATTTTTAGCGAAATTAGTATTCATCATTATTAAAATAGGTATATAATTATTCGTACCTATTTATTTCATTGCACCATCTACATTATGTTATTATAAATATGGTAGGTTTAAGGGTATACGTCGTAACTCGGCAAATCAAGTGTTAAAAGAATAAATCAAGTGATGTGACAGATCGCTGAATTTATTTGAATAAATGCCACTGTGTTATTAAAGGGAAAAAAGAAAAGGAAGAAAGATATATATTACCACTCGTTCTTCAAACAAAATAACTCATGGCACAGAATTTTTATGGAAACATCCTTTCATCAAATTCGACCATTTATTCCAAATATTGCAATATTCCGAGTTAAAAGGAAAAATGAAATTACTTTGTACGTAAACTAATATATTTCTCTATATTTTACAGCAATTAATCGTTTTCTACCGTTTTGAACTTACAATATTAAACGTAAAAGTTAAACAACGAATTTACACGAGATATAAATGAACATTAATAATTACAAATAATTATTAATTATTAGCTGATTATGATAGTTTATCGATCCATGCCGAATTGCGTAAATGTCAAAACGAAGCTTACCAAGCAAAGAAAATACGGATAATTACCGATAAATAAATGTTAATTATTGGTTAATGCTGGTATACGGAATGATAAGTGAATATTTATGAACTTTAACCATGTCCATGTTAACCACTATCCATGTCGGTCTGAAACATTAATAACGAATTATTTCATCGACTAATGGTGAGGCTGTTTCATTAGCCAATGGCCAGTAGATTAATTAAATATTGCTCGGAAAGTAATTAAGCGAACTTGACGAATTACTTTAATTTTCAGCTGTGACAAACGGTTTTTGCGTTTTACCGTGTAGAAAATTCTACCGACTACTTTCTGGATGATGAATAATCATTCACTCATTTTATCAACGCAGGACTTTGAACCAAGTCACATAAATGAACGTGCAATTAATTAGATGAATGTCTTTAAAACGGAATTCACGCGTTAAGAATCGCGAAAATAGATCTTCTAGAAATAAATCCTGGAATTTTTACGATAAAACACATATGTTTACACACTTGGATTGTTGGATTGATTGTGTAGAAAAATAAAAAATGGAAAGTAAAATACACGATGTACATATATTGGAATACAAAATAGAATTCGAACAACAATACTTGATCTAATGAAAATTTCTTTAGCATCAAATATTATTTCTCGTATATAATGGAACAACTGTTTAAACGATACAGCGCGATACAGTACAAGTTATTTATATTATGTACATAAGTGTTAATCGGTAAAAGTGTAAATTCAGTGAACAATTAAATAATTAACGTGAATACGTGTTTTATAAAAAGAATACTAAAGCTTTGGACATATGTAATATTTTATATCATTTATTCTATAAAGTTATTATTCATGTACTATCTCTCGTAAGTGATACGAAATTATGAAATTTTCATGAGAGAAGTATAATTGACGTGTACTCGGTTATAATTACAAATTTGCACATATCAAACTAATAATACGCTATTTTTATAATCTTTTCACACGCGGAAAGCTATTTCCTACTCCACTAAAATAACGATTCTTAATTAGGGCTATATGGCCTGCCAGAGGGCCCTACACCAAATTTTTCTAGTTACATGAAAATGTTTATAATAGATACTTATAAACTGATTTATAGAAATAAATAAAAGTACAATATACGTATCTTTCTAATAAATTTAAGGCTTTGGAAGATATAAAAAGAATAAGGGGAGTGAGCCACGAATTCAAAAAGTTAGGAAACCCTGCTCTAAAAATAAATATTAATAATATATACGTATCACGAAAATTATAAATATAATTATCGTAATAACTACGAATCGTAGATCATTCTCTTGAGTTAGATCCAAAACACAAGTCGAGTCTCTGTACTTCTGGATCACGCATCAATTCGTTAGGACGTTGTCGCTGATGATGCTTTCGGTGTCAACGCGAGGGACTGTGGGCCCCGGTCGTCCTGTGTACCGGTTCGCGTACACGATCGAGGTATGGGTCCTGTAGTCTGGCGCTCATGACGTGCCTACGGTCAGACCTCATGGGATGATTCCATAATTGGTTTCTCCCCCATGTGGTAGGGGCACGGAGCTGCCTGCCTGGCTACTAGGCCTCACTGGACCCACGAGTACCATCAGTTCACCAACGACCTTTGTTCTCGAGTAAGTCATGTTCAGGTTAACTTTCGTATCAATTTTTATTCCTTCGTATCTACTACATTTTCTTTCATCCTAATTTACAAAAGGTAGAGTCGTTCAAATATTAGCGTTGCGAAAATAGGGTATTAAAATATAGTATGCCTAGCCGAAATCTCTTTTATAGGACGATCGTTGAAAGGCCCCTAAGGCCAGGGACTCTACCTGTAACCATCTCCACGAAGTGGGTTTTAGTTATTGGTATTCATCGATTCATCCATCTATAATTGTTGCAAGTATTTTCTGGGACTTTTTTAGAAGATTACTTCAGAAATTGGAGGACGTTAATGTGGATGAAGTTTGAGTGATTTCAGACAATGCAGGGAGCCACGAAACGCAGGACATCCGTGACGATGTTGGTCAGAGAAGGCACACTTTACTTGTTCTACCCCCATATTCTCCAACTATGAATCGCATCAAAGAAATCTTTTCCAAAGTAAAATTTTGTGCAAGAAACTGTTACTTCTACAAATTGTTATAATTGTTACATGAATATGTATGTCAAGTTAACAGCAACAGCTGCAGAGAAACCATTATAATCTAGGCTATGTACACACAATTAACGTAATTATAATAAATATCTAATACATATACATCCTTTCAGTAAAATTTTGCATTTCTTACTGGCTAATATATATTTTATGTGTTTTTACAAGTACTTGAGTTGCAAGAGTATGAATTTGATATGGGAAAGGGTGAATTAAAAGTGTAAAACCTGTATTGAAAACACCATAGAGTCCGGCGTGGAAAACGAAGGCGGCACGATTAGAAGAGCCGCAGGCGCACGTGTCGCCTCGCGAGAAGCACAGAAGCCGGAAAACTGCATTCTCATTGCAATGAGCATCGCGCGCGAGCCGGACGCACATGGCATTTCGCGTACGTACACTCGTAAGCTTCCGGTGGCGCGCGCGCACGCGCCAGCGCCACACAATGGGAAGTTTCTCTTTCACGAGGGTAGCGATTACACGCGTGTAACCGGAGAAAAGAGAAACCTGAAAATCTATCTTCGACGGCGCGCTCTTTCACAATCTTCGTTATCGAGAGCTGTGACGATTACTTTCACACGATAAGGGACCAGCCGCCGTGACGGAGGGCAATTAACGACGGTGGCCTTATTAGCAAAACTGGAGCGAGTTGATTTCTCTGTGGTCATTTTCGCGCCTATGCATCCCTCCCACTCCTGCCACCAAGTGACTCCCCACTCCTCGAGATTCAAAGAGTTTTCTGCAAACTAGGGCCGAAAATGCGTGGCATTTTTAAGAATTTTTTTTTAAAACACCATGACACTTTTCGACACGAAGTTTTCGCTGGCTTATCTGTCCGTGTTTTGGGAATATTCGCAATTTTTTTCGACAAGAAATGGAAGAAATTGTAAGAATTATATAACGATATATACAACAGGGTTCAAAAAACGGAGTATAGCGGCTGAGATGATTGGGGCTGTTCTGCTCATCGAAAACGAACAACTAGAGAAGCATTGTGATTAGCAAAGATGCAGTTATGGTTTGAGATAAGGAAAAGAAAAAATCTCGAAATTTGAAAAAATGACGACACTTTGAAGTTGATATGTCCTTCTATTTCTTCTGCATTTCGAGTAATGAAAAAAATATAAAAACTTATTGAATCTGAAAATCCGAAATCCCAACTATAAAGACATATCATCTACATAATCTGTTGAAATTTGAAATCAATCGGTTAATTAGAATTTGAAATATCGTATCAACCAGTTCAACGTAGCACGAGTTCAACATCTGTGTACTCCCTAATATTTAATCAATCTGCAATTTCATGACCCTAAGGTACAAAATTTTTATCAGTCATCAACGAAGCAACTGCAGTATGAATGTATATAATATATTTTAAACGTAGTAACCGTGAATAACCAAAATAATGACGCCACTGATGTCTCCCTTGCTTCGCAGTTCTTCACTCGCTGTGTTCACGTTAGGACACTTATAATTTCGTTAATTTTACGAATTTCATGGAACATTTCATTACATAAACTTGCACGCGTATTTGAAAATGTATAAGTTGGACGAAAATGGGAAGAAAAATCGGTATTCTTGACCCGGATTTATAGAAGACCCTCTTCTTAACCCTGGGATCTCGACGGAACCTGGACTGGTCTCAGCCGAGATTAGACGACGAACGCTGGATTTCTA